TTAGAGCTCAAGGAGCATTCAACTTCTCAAACTCATTTATTTCTGGACCTCAATGCTGAGTAGGTTGTTGACGCAGGCAAGTAATACCAGTTAGGTAAGCATGTTCGGTGAGATACACAAGGCAGTCTCTTCCTTTTCTGGTCACCAAATGTCCAGCCCCAGAATTCTTTCAGCCACTGGAACTCTCTGCTAAAAATCAGACTAAAGAGCTATGTTGAGTGACTTCCGGTCAAGATGGCAGCGTAGGTAAACGCGGTATCGCGTCCTCCCACGACCACATCAAAGTTACAACTAAACTACAGAACAACCATCATTCAAAACTGCCTGAAATCAAGCTGAATGGAAGTCCTACAACTATGGAATTGAAGCAGCAGCCACATCCAGACTGGTAGGAAGGGCAGAGGGGCGGAGATGCGGAGATGCAGAGGGGCGAAGGCTCGAGGGGCTGGTCCCACACCCACATGTGGCGGATAAAAATCAGGATACCTCAGCTGGGAAGGTCCTTCCTGAGGACTGAGGGGTCCCTGTCCCACACCAGGTGCCCCGCTCCGGGTTCCAGTGCCAGGAAGAGAAGTCCACATAACTTCTGGCTGGAAAAACCAGCAGGAACTGAGGCTCAGGGAAGCTGAAGCGGCTAGAGCCCCAGGCAGCTCCTTAAAGGGCCCGCGCACGGACTTATCGGACTCTCTCCCTCTAAGCTTGGAGGGGAGGCAGCTCGAGGGGCACCAGAGACATACAGGGAAGAACAGAGCTGTTTGGCACTGGAGCGAGGGCTGGAGAGGGGCCTTTCTCCGGGACAAACGTGCTGTCAGAGGCCTTTGTTCCTTTAGTGAGCCCTTCCGGGGGGCGGCAGACAGCTGCCATATCTGGGACTCCAGCAACCTGGCTCACACTGGTAGCCCTGCCCTGGTTACTCCCTGAGGACCCACCCCGCCCCGCCCCATCCAACTTTCAGGCCCATCCAACTTTCAGGCCCATCCAACTTTCAGGCCCACCCAACTTTCAGGCCCACCCAAGCTGTTGCCACTTGCTTAACCATCGGATTGGCCTGTCTTGGATCCTGCTTCAGGTTTTTCCTAAATTCTCTCAAACAAGCAGTGTCTGGTCTCAGCTAGCCCCATACAGCTCGTTAAGTAATACACAGAAACAAACATAGGGAGGCAGCCAAAATGAGGAGACAAAGAAACAGGTCCCAAATGAAAGAAAAGAACAAAACCCCAAGAAAAGAACTAAGCAAAATGGAGATAAGCAACCTAACAGATGCTGAGTTCAAAATACTGCTTCTAAGGATGCTCAATGAACTTAGTGAGGGCCTCAAGAAAGGACCAGTCAGAAATTATGGATGCACAGTCAGAATTAAAGAAGGCATTAACTGAAATAAAGAATAATTTACACAGCTTCAATACTAGAGTACGTAAATCCAAGAAGCAAACCATCGATTTGGAATATAAGGAAGCAAAAAATCCCCAATCAGAACAGCAAAAAAACAAAAAGAATCCAAAAAAATGAGGATAGTGTTAAGGAGCCTCTGGGACAACTTCAAGCGTGCCAACAGTCGCATCTTGGGGGTGCCAGAAGGAGGAGAGCGAGAACAAGAAATCGAAAACCTGTTTGAAACAATAATGGCAGAAAACTTTCCTAACTTGGTGAAGGAAACAGACATACAAGTCCAGGAAGCACAGAGAGTCCCAAACAAGATGAACCCCAAGAGGCCCACACCAAGACACATCATCTTCAAAAAGCAAAAGGTTCAAGACAAAGAGAGAATCTTAAAAGCAGCAAGAGAAAGGCAGCTAGTTACCTACAAGGGAGTTCCCATTAGGCTGTCAGCTGATTTCTGAAAAGAAACTTTGCAGGCCAGAAGGGAGTGGCAAGAAATATTCAGAGTGATGAAAAGCAAGAACCTACAACCAAGATTACTCTATCCTGCAAAGCTGTCATTTAGAATCGATGGCCATATTAAGACTTTCCCAGACAAGAAAAAGTTAAAGGAGTTCATTACCACCAAACCATTATTATATGAAATGATGAAGGGTCTTTTTGAAGAAAAAGATAAAATATATGAACAAACAAAATGGCAATGAATATATATCTATCTACAAACAAAATGAACAGGCAGAACAGAAACATTCTCATAGATACAGAGAACATTTTGTTGGTTGCCAGATGGGAGGGGGGTTGGGGGAATGGGTGAAAAGGTGAAGAGATTAAGAAGTACAAATTCGCCCTGGCCGGTTTGGCTCAGCGGTTAGAGCGTCGGCCTGCGGTCCTGAGAGACCCGGGTTTGGTTCCCGCTAAGGGCATGTACCTCGGTTGCAGTTTGTCCCCGGCCCTGGTCGGTTGTGCGGGTGGCGGCCACTTGATGTGTCCCTTTCACATCGATGTTTCTCTCTCTCTCTCTGTTCCTCTCCCCCCCGCCCCCCACTCTACCTGAACAAAAAATGAAGAATGTCCTCGGGTGAGGATAAAAAAAAAAAAGTACAAATTCATTGCTAGACTAACAAACCTCAAAGGGAAAGGGATTGGGGGGGGTGGGAAAGAAAAACCCAAAGAACTTATATGCATAACCTATGGACACAGACAATAGTGTGGGAAAAGGCGGGAGGGGGGCAAAAGTGGGGAGGAGGGGGTCAATGGGGGGAAAATGTGGAACATCTGTAATACATTTTACATTCAACAATAAAGATTTAAAAAAAAAAGAGCTATGTTGAATTCAAATTGCATCTAGAATCCTAGCACTTCAGTGATCTTCTATTAAAAGATGTTAATGATCAGATTTAAATCTTTACCTTTCACTGCATTTAGAAGAGGACAATGCGCCCTGGCTGGTTTGGCTCAGTGGTTAGAGAGTCGGTCCACTGACTGAAGGGCAAAGGTTCGATTCCTGGTCAAGGGCATGTGCCTAGGTTGCAGGTTTGATCCCTGGTCCAGGTTGGGGTTATGTAGGAGATAACTAATCGATGTGTCTCTCTCACATCAATGTTTCCCCCAACACCCCGCCTCCTTCCTTCCCTTCCACTCTACCTAAAAAATTTTTTAAATCAATGGAAAAATATCCTTGGGTAAGGCTGAACAATAAACAAATAAATAAAGCACTACAATGCTATTCATAAAGATCCTTTAAAATAACAACAAAATCTTTGACCTAGTAATTCACTATTGGGAATAGTAACAGCAGCTGTAAGTTCTTAAGTACTGACTATGTGCTAGACATTGTGCTAGGCACTTTCCTTAAAATATCTCATTTAACCTCATAAAAAATGAATAAGGTCATTACTACTATTACTTGACAGATGCCTAAAAGGGAAGCACAGAAACTTGTACAGGGTCACACAGTCTAGTAAATGACAGAGGTGGGACTCAACCTCAGATTGATTGAACTCCAGAGCCCATCTTTTTTTACTGTCACTCAACTAGAAACACATCCTTGGGAAATGACCCCAAAATATAGCGACAACTTTAAGCATAAGAGGCTCAGTGCCATGTACTAAGCAACTTGAAGCATTCTAAACACAGTTACATAAATGGAGGCAATTCAGATTATAAAATATTACATAGGCAATAAAAATATTTTGCACCTAACTTTTAGTGACTCATGAACAAAATTTTATGCTATAAATAGAAAAAGCAAAATACAAAACTTTACATATAGTCAGATTTCAATTCTGTAAAAATTATCTGCACATGGGTAGACCTAAATTTATTGCTAAATTTTAAAAGACAGGTTGCAGAAATATAACATATATATATATATGGCATGGTCCCACTTATGTTAATAACACATGACTCATTTTAAGTATTCAATAAATGTAAGCTATTATTATTATTATTATTTAATCCTCACCTGAGGACATTTTTTACATTTATCTTCAGATAGAGCGAGAGGGAAAGAGGGGTGGAGAGAGAGAGAGAGAGAAACATCGATGTGAGAGAGACACTCAGCTGGTTGCCCCCCACACAACCCCATCTGGGCTGGGGACAAACTGCAACTGAGGTATGCACCCTTAGCAGGAACCGAACCTGGGACTCTCTGATCCACGGGCTGACGCTCTAACTGCTAAGCCAAACCGGCCAGGGCAACTATTATTATTATTATTACTAATACTTTATAATCAGAAAAAAAATCATTGAATTTATTTAAATTATAAGTTTTGTATTTCCTTATTTAATAAATAAAAGGTGTATTGCTTTATAAAAATAAAAAAACATGTACCTTTCTTTCCCAGAAATCATAACTTATAAAATGCCTCACAATTTCAGACTAAATACCTCTAATTTATGGGAATCATCAAGTAGCACTGAGAAAAGCATTGCAACACTGCCAATCATTTAAAGTATGATTACAATCAGCACATTATACCACAGAAAACTGTACTGATACTATTATATTTAGAATTTAAAGTCACAGACAGACAAGCTAGATCAGGAGTGGTACTTTAAGGGCCAATATCTCACACTATACCAAAACTAAGGCTTTTGGTGCACTCTTTAACAAGAGGTAACCAATAGCTCCAGGGTGATGCAGCAGAGACATGTAGCACATAAATGGAAATTAGAAATATTTTTCAGCTGCTGTCTTTCTGTAGAGTTTACTTACACTTACACACACACATAAACACACACAAAGACCTATATTGAATTGAAAATGGGCAACTCTAGAACTTAGTTCATCAATTTTTATAGGAGTCTCAATATTTGAACATATAATTGAAATGAAAAGTCCAAAGCATCACACTGAATTTGGGCCTACCTATGACGAAGAACAAGTTGAAACATTAAAAGATAAAAGATTTTCCCTTCCCCTTCTCCTCAGGTATGTGCCACTAAATAGCATACCTGCCAAAGTAATAAAGAATAGGAAAAGTACTAAAAAAATTAACTAGACAGACATCAAAACAAAACAAAAAACCAACAACTGTAACTTTGAAGAACTGTCTCTTTTTTTCTGTCCTGTATTATATAGCATTACAAAACCATCACACAGACAGGTATGTTCTTACCTGTATCTTGCCCCACCAGCCCATTGCAGTACATGGCATGTCGCTCAATCTTTGTGGGTGGAAAGCCTTGTCCACATAGTGGGCAGGGTACCTTGGTACTGGATGAGAAGGTAGAAGAAGGTATTTCCTTCTCAACATCTTCCCTGTTACAAACCTGAAGAATATGACAAACAGCAATTGTAACAACTTTACTTTATAAAATAATTTTCCCCCAAAGAACTGCAAGAAACTCCATCCATACTTTATTTACTTTCAAACAGACTATACCAGTCAGCTTGCAAATTCAGGACTGAGGATTAAGAGATATGATAATAGCCCAGTTTGGCTCAGTGGTTGGAGCGTCGGCCTGCGAACCAAAGAGTCCTGGGTTCGGTTTCCGCTAAGGGCACATACCTCAGTTTCAGTTTGTCCCTGGCCCCGGTTGGGGCTGTGTGGGTGGCGACCACTCGGTGTCTCTCTCTCACATCAATGTTTCTCTCTCTCTCTCTTCCTCGCTCTCTCCTTCCCACTCTATCTGAAGATGCATGCAAAAATGTCCTCGGGTGAGGATATTAAAAAAAGAAAGAAAGAAAGATATGTAACAACCCTGGCTGGTTTGGCTTGGCCGTTAGCGTGTCAGCATGTGGACCAAAAAGTCATGGGTTCGATTTCTGGTCAAGAGCACATACCCGAATTGCAGGTTCAATCCCCAGCCCCAGTTGCATGGGAGGCAGCCAATAGATGTGTCTCTTTCACATTGATGTTTCTCTCTCTCTCTCCGCACCCTCTTTCCACTCAATATCTAAAAAAATAATCAATGAAAAAAATATCCTCGGGTAAGGATTAACAAAAAAAAAAAAAAGGAGAGAGAGAGAGAGAGAGAGATGATAACATAGTTAATACTTATTCAAGCCTGCCCACTATGTGCTAAGTACTCTACATGTAATAGTCACTTAATCCTCATAGTAATCTAATAAAGGTATTAATATACTCTTTTTACACGTGAGCAAAGCATTGTTCAAAACAGTAAAGTAAATTGCTCAAAGTTACAGAACAAATAAGTGACAGAGCTAAAATTCAAACCAAGGACTATTTGTCTCCTAAAACTAAGGGCATTCCTCTCTATCATGCTGCAAGGCACTGTGTTCCTTAGGTCAGTATACTGTGTCTGCAGTGTTTCAATAGTCTGTATAGCAACAGCACCTTAAAGATACTTTTTCAATCTCACAAAATAACTGTGATATTGTCCATGAATTGAGACATACATAAGGAGTTAGAAAACAAAAGAGCTCTAAGCAAAAGAAACACAACTAAAATTTAAGAACCGAGGTCTTAAATTTTACACCAGTAAGATATACTGCATCCAATGTTTTATGACTTTTGGATTGAAAGAGGAAATACGACTAAGACCCAAATATTTAAGAAGGCCTAAGAGAAATTAAGACAATTCTGCTGAAGCCATTCTTACACCTTATCTCTCTTGTTCCTCTTCTTGTTCTATAGTCATCATTTTTCCAACAGTTGCCAGTGTCTCCCAGAGGCAGTTTTATTTTACCTTTACTTGTCATAACTGATAACGCTGCAGTGATTAATTCAACAGTATGGGTAAGCACTGCAGCACTACTGCCTAACGCTTGCTTCGAAGGAAGCATGTCCTGTCCAATCAATGTGAAACTGTCCTGCATAGCCACTGCTTCCATTTAGGAGCAAGGAGTACCTGGACGGTCATTATGCCTTATTACAGGGAGAAAAAATAAACCACCTTCTGGTACAAGAACAAAACAGGACCAAAACTGCAATGGGTAGATAATTTGAGCTCTGAAAAAACTGGGTTGGGGGAGGGGGTCTCTAATTTTAGGCCATCCTTGAAATCTACTGCTTGTGAATGTGATCCAGCAGAGAGGAAAACAGGTCATCTAAATACCCAAACAGTTTTTACAATTGCTAAAAAATATTGTTTTCAATACATGTGCTTTGTACTTAAAAAGACATACTCTGAAAGGGAAAAAAAGAAAGATGAGAAATGAAGTAACAGTGGTTGAGTTCCTATACCATGCCAGGGTTGGCCAAGCATTTTCCATATCCATCCCTCACAACAACCCACCTGGTAAGAACCACTAACTAGCTCTAGTATTACAGAAGAGGAAACTGAGGCTTGGAAAGACAAAGTTACCTATTGATCACAAAGTTAGTAAGTAAGCAATCTAGATTCAAACCCAGACTTGTATGACATCAAACCTTCACTATTTCCATTTCAGCATGTGCCAAAAGCAAAAGGCACCCCCTTCTACTTTGTTTCTGGAAGCTGACTCTGCCAGATACTGGGAGACTATACAGTTCTATTATTCTTCTCTAGAACGTGGGTCTAGAAGTTCTAGGCGTTATTTATTCTAAGCTTAGTCACTGAGCTTATAAATTCAGGTTCTTCTGAACATAAATTTTACAATGAAAAGTCATCTTCTGCATGCAAAGCAATTTAAGCAGAGAGGATAAAGTCAGATACCTGATCATTTGCAAGTAGTCTTGAGTTGTTGAAAGTTAGTGTCGACTGAGCAGTTACTTGGCCTTCTAAAGTGCACTGAGCGCAGAAATATTATATGACATGAATGTCAAAGTGCTCACACCAGCACTATACGCCTTTGTATTCCTCAACAGCTCTATCAAACGCAGAAAATGTACCTTCAACTATTAATGTATTCAAGAGGACGTAATCTGTCTATTACTGTCTTACTGTGAAGACAAGACCACTTCCAATCATACTCATAGGCAACCCAGAAGGTTTCTGAGCATTTTTATATTAAAATAAGATTATTCCCCGTACCATTAAAATGGTCTATTTAAATATTAACTATAGTGGAGGAACCTCAAGCAAAAACAAAACAAAACAAAAAAAAAAAACAAGCAAAGCAACTTTTATTAGTACCATGTAGTCAGGGATTAAGTCTCTGCAGAACAGCTACTACTTCTTTTAAAATACTATACAGCCATTTCTCAAAAGAGGCAGTTGAACCCCAAATCTTGATCTCTTAAAGGTCTCTTACCTTCTGGCCTCAAAAAAAACTTCACTTCAAGAAATGGACCCAATGAAAATAAAAGTACATCCTACGAATCACCAACCCCCTGCATCTCCCTACCTGTCTCATTTGTAGCTAAGAAAGCTGTCTGTTTGGCAATTTTCCCTCTTACTACAAGTCTCTTAACACAATTTACTTAAAAACCAACTGACTAAACCAACTATTTGATTCTGAATAACATCCATTAACTCTTCTGAAAACAGATTATGTGAATCTCCAACTAAGGGAAACTCTCTGGCAAGATATTCAGAAAACATTATTTCCAAAGGAACCTGACCACAGCAGGAAATCAAATCAAGAGGAATTACAGTTCTGCCACAAATATTCCAAATGCCTCAAATACTTTCGAACAATTCTCTGTCATTAGTAAGAGGGTATTACTGAACAGTCACAATACATTACAAAGCAGTAAAATAATAACTGGTTCCACATGCATACTTCTACATCTGCCAAATCTCTACTATGTGTCTTATATTCCTCATTTAATTTCATCTTCAGAGAAACCCAATGAACGTCTCCATTTTACATATGAAAAACTGAAATTCAGAAAAATATTCCTCTTCTATACTCCCCTAATGCCCTAGGCATCTTTCTATCATTATATTTGTCAGACTACATTATAATTATAATGTTCTGTTTATGTGTCTATCTCCTCCCTTAAAAAGGACTCTCTGAAGACAGAGACTTTTTTCTTACTCATTTTTATGTCTCAAGAGTGTAAAACATTGATTGCGTCCCAGTACACTAATTATAAATATCTGCTAAATAAATGAATGAAATAATTAATTAAATAATTTACCCAAGGTCACAAAGTTAAGTGGTGGGATTAGTATTCAAAGTCATGCCTTCTAATTCCAATGCTCAAGCAACACTAGCACTATACCATACCACCTTCCAATAAACAAGAAATCTTAGGACAAATGATCCCATACAGATTCCAAGGGCAAGTGTCCACAGCCATTATACTATCTTTGTGTACATAAAATGTACAGATTCTATCTTTCTAGTAAGTGACTTATAACTAGTAAGTGATTACTCAATGACTTAAACACTACAGTATCTCTAACTTCTTTTAATGGAAACTTCTAAGACTAGAGACATCCATCAATATCAGCAAACAGCAACTTGAAAGGAGGACATTCAATGTGAGAAAGGCCATACAATTACAATCATGTGAGGTGTAGTGGTGCAGACATATAAACTATAAATTCTAAATAGGGTTCATGCTCTGTGCCCCAAACAAAGAACAGTCTCCTTTGTAGTTATGGATAAGTAAGAAATCAACCTTGATTAACCAGAAGTTTGCAGGACTTCTTCTGTACCTTAAGATGCCTGTGTTAATAACACTCTGTTCCCCCATCTTCATTTAGACAGTTCTGGTCCCTCCTTAGGAAAAAGACCTGAGGCCATTTTCACATTATCTAGCAGGAACTGTCCTCAGTTGCTCTGCTGCAGGGAGTGTTATCATCTTTCCTACCACCACTGGCATCAGGGAATCTTGGTCTGTCAGTTGTGACAGATCAGGTTCCAGGGAACCAAGCAGTGTGCATGATTCATGAAAGCAGAATTTCTACCCAGTTACCTGCAATGCAGAAATGGGGGTGGGGGGTCAGGGGTCTAACTTCTACTTTAAAAACTGTTTTTAAAAAGCCTAGAATATGAAAAGTGATAAGAGAATGAAGCCTTTTTAAGGTACTCAGGATAAGAGTATACACAAATGTAACCAAAAATCTTTATTTCCACAGAAAAATTAGTTTAATTCTCAGGCGCTGCTTTTCAAAAAAATTCTTGGTAACTAAATGTTTTGTCAGACTCAAAAATGAAAAATATACATTGAGAATCTTCATCAGAAGTATGTACTTAGAATTCCAGTCAAGATGGCAGCATAGGTAAATGCAGTACTCACATCCTCCTACAACTATATCAAAATTACAGCTAAACTACAGAACCACCATCATTCTGAATCGCCTAAAATCTAGCTGAATAGAAGTCCTACAACTAAAGATTTAAAGAAGTCATATCAAGACTGGTAGGAAGGGGGCAGATGTGGAATTGTCTGGTCCCACACCCACATGTGGCACATAAAAATTGGGAGGAATAATCCTCAGCTGCAGAGGTCCTCCTCGGGGTCCGCCCCAGCCCCACACCAGTCCCCCAAACTCAGGGTTCCAGTGCTGGGAAGAGAAGTCTCCATAACTCCTGGCTATAAAATCCAGCAAAAATTGAGGTTGAGTGACATGGAGGGCTTCTGGAGTCAGAGGCAGTTCCTCTGAAAGGGCCCACACACTTACTCTGACTTGCTCTTTCTGAGCTCTGGCACTGGGACAGCAGCTTAAAAGGTACCAGGGACATACGGGGAGAAAATGAAGTGTCTGGCATCAGGACAAGAATTGGGGGCACAGCTTTATCCAAGACAAGTGCTGGCAGAGGCCATTGTTCCTTTGATGAGCTTCCCACCACCGAGTCTCTATCAACCTGGTTATCACTGTTTGCTCTGCCCTGGTGATTCCCAGACCCCACCAAGCTGTTTCCAGTGCTTTTTCCATATGAATGGCCTAACTTGGCTTATGCTTCAGACTTTCCTAAAATCTCTCAAACAAGCAGCATCTGGTCTCAGCATGCCCAGAACCTCTCAATAAGTGGCCCCAGGACCAGCACTAGCAGCAGCTGGCTGTGATTCGCAGCTTGGCCTCTCCTGGGCACCTCCAAGCCCAGCACAAGTAGCAGTCAGATGCAGATTGCTTTGTAGCTCAAGCTGGGTGACACTGGGCAGAACATATGTGGCAGCTGACAATGGGCACAACCAGCATACCTGGTGGACAGTTTCACGCCACATCAAAACACCACCCAACCACCCGGCTGTCCAATGGACTGCAATGTCCAGGTTCAATTCCTAGTCAGGGCACATGCCTGGGCTGCAGGCTCAATCCCCAGTAGGGGGTGTGCAGGAGGCAGCTGATGGGTTTCTCTCTTATTGATGTTTCTATCTTGCTCTCCCTTCCTCTCTCTCTAAAAAATCAATAAAAACATATTAAAGAAAAAAAAAAATATCACCCAACCACTTCCACAGTGACAGAACTCAAGAAGCAGACTCAGCAGGCACCAGAGCCCCACTGAAGGAAGTCCTGCTGAGTGGGGTGGGCCCCAGCACAGCTGATCCTCCATGGTGGTTGTGGCCAGTCCTTGTACTGAATCTGCCTGGGAATAAATCCCTCCCACTGACATGCCAACAGCAATCAAGGCTCAACTACAACAAGGGAGTGTACACAGCCTACACAGGCCACAGAATGGAGTGGGGGGGGGGGGAGTAAGGAGGAAACACACACCTAGAGTAGCCAGCTTGGATGATGGAGGAGGCTGTGCCACTGGACCCTACAGGACACCTACTACATTAGGTCACTCTACCAAGCCTGGGAGATGTAGCAGCTCTACCTAGTACATAGAAACAAACACAGGGGAGATGCCTAAATGAGGAGACAAAAAAACATGTTACAAATGAAAGAACAGGAGAAATCTCCAGAAAAAGAACTAAATGAAATGGAGGCAAGCACACTATCAGATACAGAGTTCAAAACAATGGTTAAAAGGATGCTCAAGGAACTAGGGAAAGAATAGCTGAACTTAGAGAGAACTTCAACAGCATAAAAGAAAGACATGGAAATCATAAAAAAGAAAAAAAAATACATGGAAAACATAAAAAAGAACCAGTCAGAAATGAAGGATAGATACACTAACTGAAATGAAGAATAATTTACAGTGAATCGACAGTAAAGTAGATGAAACTGAGAAGCAAATCAGCAATTTGGAATATAAGGAAGCAAAAAACACCCAATCAGAATAGCAAAAAAATCCAAAAAATAAAGATAGTGTAAAAAGCCTTTGGGACAATATTCACATCATAGGGACGCTGGAAGGAGGAGAGAGAGAGTAAAATTGAAAACCTACTTAATAAAATGACAGAAACTTCTCTAACCTGGTGAAGGAAATAGATATACAGGAAGTACAGAGAGTCCCAAACAATATGAACCCCAAGACACATCATAATTAAAATGCAAAAGGTAAAAGACAGAGAGAATCTTAAAAGCAGCAAGAAAAAAGAGGTTAGTTCTCTACAAGGGAGCTCCCATAAGACTGTCAGCCGATGTCTCAACAGAAACTTTGCAGGCCAGAAGGGAGTGGTAAGAAATATTCAAAATGATGAAAAGCAAGGACCTAAAACCAAGATGACTCTACCCAGCAAAGCTCTCATTTAGAGTCAAAGGACACAGAAAGAGCTTCCCAGAAAGAAAAAGCTAAAGGAGTTAATCACCACCAAACCAACATTTACATGAAATGTTAAAGGATCTTCTTTAAGAAGAAAAAAAAGATAAAAAATATGAGCAATAAATATATATCTATTACCCTGGCTGGTTTGGCTCAGCAGTTAGAGCGTCGGCCCATGGACCAGAGAGGCCCAGGTTCGGTTCCTCTAAGGGCACATGCCTCAGTTGCAGTTTGTCCCTGGCCCTGGTTGGGGTCGTGTGAGTGGCAATCACTCAATGTGTCTCTCTCACATCGATGTTTCTCTCTCTCTTCCTCCCTTTCTCCCTCCTGCTCTATCTCAAGATAAATGCAAAAAGTGTCCTCGGGGGAGGATAAAAAATATATATATGTATATATGTATATATGTCTGTAGATAGATAGACAGATCGATCAACAATTGAATCTAAAAAACAAAAGAAGTGAACAAAGAGAACAGAAACAGACTCATAGACACAGAGAACATTTTGATGGTTGCCAGATGGAAGGAAGGTTGGGGGAGATGGGTGAAAAATGTAAAGGGATTAAGAAGTATAAATTGCTTGTTACAGAATAGTCATGGGGATATAAAGTACAGCACAGAAAATACAGTCGATAATATTCTAATGCATGGTGTCAAATGAGTAAAAGACTTATCAGGATGATCATTTAGTAAATTAGATAATGTCTAATCACTGGGGTATACATCTGAAACCAATATTATATTGTATGTCAACTGTAATTGGAAAGTAAAAAAAATTGCCTGGCCAGTTTGGCTCAGTGGTTAGAGCGTCGGCCTGCGGTCTGGAGAGACCCGGGTTCAGTTCCCGCTAAGGGCACGTACCTTGGTTGCAGTTTGTCCCCGGCCCTGGTTGGTCGTGCGGGTGGCAGCCACTCGATGTGTCCCTTCACGTCGATGTTTCTCTCTCTCTCTCCCTTCCTCTCTCTCCCTCCCACTCTATCTGTACAAAAAATGGAAAAATATCCTCGGGTGAGGATAAAAAAAAAAAAGAAAAGTAAAAAAATTATTTTAAATTTTTAAAAAAAGAAGTATGAAGCCCTGGCCAATTTGGCTCGGTGGTTAGAGCATCAGCCCTTAGACCAAAGAGTCATGGGCTCGATTCTGGTCAAAGGCATGCACCTCAGTTGATGTTCAGTCCCCGGCCTTGGTCGTGATCATACAGGAGGCAACCAATCAATGTGTCTCTCTCACATCAATGTTTCTCTCCCTCACACTCTATCTGAAGATAAATGGAGAAGTATCCTCGAGAGAGGATTAAAAAAGAAAAAGTATGAATTTGTATTAATTGGGTGTATAGTTAATGCCAGATATGTGCAATTAGAAACGGTAATACTACTGCAAGAAGAGATTTGCTTATTTTATCACATTGCTATTTGGACTTTGCATTTCTGATCACATCTAGAAATTAGGGCAGAAAGTTAGTTACCTCATAATGTATACATAGTGACTATTTCCAAGACTGTTCATCTCTGTTACTTATCAGTATATAATGGAAAATACACCAGATTTTAGAGACAAATCTGTATTCAAATTCTAGTTCTACCATTATTAGCAGTTTGAATTTGAACAAATTCCTTAAATATCCCAAGCCTCCATTTCCCTCTCTGTAATAGAAATAATAAAGCATGTTAAAGTACACAAGAAATGGTAACTACTGTTATTTTTCAGAAACAATGCTGAACTGATCTTAACTATAAGAACTCCTCCTCTCCCCCTGGCCAGTTTGGCTCAGCGGTTAGAGCGTTGGCCCACAGACCAGAGAGTCCTGGGTTCGGTTTCCGCTAACGGCATGTACCTCAGTTGCAGTTTGTCCCCGGGCCCCGGTTGAGGCTGTGTGGGTGGCAACCAGTTGATGTGTCTCTCTCACATCAATGTTTCTCTCTCTCTCTTCCCCCTCTCTCCCTCCTGCTTTGTCTAAAGATAAATGCAAAAACATGTCCTCAGGTGAGAATTTAAAAAAAAAAAGGAATTTCTCCTCTGAAATAAGTGTCCCAAAAGCTACAACCCCATCACCTACATCTTTCCAGCCAAAGGTCAATGCAGCATCAGATAGAAAGAAAACACTGAGAAAAATGAGAGCAGTGGTTCTCAACCTTCCTAATGCCAAGACCCCTTAATACAGTTCCTCATGTTATGGTGACCCCCAACCATAAAATTATTTTTGTTGTTATTTCATAACTGTAATTTTGGTACTGTTATGAATCGCCATTGTTTTCCAATGGTCTTAGGCAACCCTTGTGAAAGGGTCGTTTGACTCCCAAAGGGGTTGCGACCCACAGGTTGAGAACCGCTGAATTAGAGAGAATACTCACCTCCTTATCTGTCATTATTATTCTTACTTCATCCAGGGTCTCTCTGCTACCTGGAAAGACTTCTTTTTCAAGGTCAAAACTTTCAGGGAAACTTAGCTGTGTCTCTGCAATTGAAAATACATAAGTCTCATTAATTTTCACAGTTAAAAAAAACAAACACCTATTTCCCCTAAAGCTTAAGGTATGATAAAACATCGGTAGCCATATAGATCCAGTTTGCTTGCTTTTTTTTTCTTAAAGCTTTACTAAGGCATACTTTACATACAACAGAATCCACCAAGTTTCCGTCCATTAAACCTAGATATAACGGACTAATTCAAGTGTGTGTGTGTGGGGGGTCCGTTAAAGCCTAAAGTCCATTATATAATAAAGCAGGTTTCCTAAATGCATATGTTAAAAAATCAACTAGTTAGTTTACCTATTTTTACTTATGTAGACATATTTGTGTAATTAAAATTAAGTATGTATGAAAAGTTTAATTTTACAGAAAATATGTATTACTGTACATATGTGTTCTATATGCATTACTGTAATTTTAAATTTATACTGAATAGGTATAGTAAATGCATGCATTCACCAGTCACCATGACTAAACAAATGCACATGGCTGGGGCATGGCTGGGGCATGGCTGAGTGTACGTCAGAACACCAGAGGCCCACATTAAAACTGCTATAGCCCTGGCTGGTTTGGCTCAGCAGAGCGTTGGCCCACTTCAATTCTGGTCAAGGGCACGTAACCTCGGTTGCAGTTCATCCCAGGCCCTGGTCGGGTTATGCAGGAGGTAACCAGTCAATTTGGCTCTATCACATTGATGTTTCTCTCTGTCTCTCTCCCTCCCTCCTACTCTATCTGATGATAAATTTTTAAAAAGTATCCTCAGGTGAGAAATTTTAAAAAATAAAGTTAAAAAAAAAAAAAAAACTGCTACAGAAAGCCACGCCATGAACGACAGAACCAATAACCACATAAGATGGGGTGTGATCACATCATAATTATTCACCAAACATTCTTTATGAGCAGTGACTCTTGGATTTAAATATGTAAACTAAAATTGTAGATATAAAATATTTATTTATGTTGGCAAAATTACTACTGTTTTTTCTAACCTATGGCCTATTTGCTAAAATTTGTTAAAAATAACAATGAATTAATAACAAACAAAAAAAACTGTAAATTTACTTATAAGGAAATCTTAGTTAAAAACATTTTAGCCCTGGCCAGTTTGGCTCAGCAGTTACAGTGTCAGCCTGCAGTCCAGAGAGACCCAGGTTCGATTCCCGCTAAGGGCGCGTACTAGGTTGCAGTTTGTCCCTGGCCCTGGTTGGTCGTGTGGGTGGCAGCCATTCGATGTGTCCCTTTCACGTCGATGTTTCTCTCTCGCGCTCTTCCTCTCTCTCCTTCCCACTCTAGCTGATCAAAAAATGGAAAAATGTCCTCGAGTGAGGATAAACAACAACAAAAATATTTTAAATTAACAGGGTCTTCTTTTTCACATATGACATACGGACTAGAAATTTTGTTTGTGAAATTCGAAGTCCATTAAATTGAGGTCTGCAAAATCAATGGTTTACTATATATAATTTGATGAGTTTTGACAAATATATACAATTTATACATGTATCAGTTATACCACGTAATTATGACCACAATCAAGATATAAAACCTTTCTAGACCCCAAAAGTATACCTCTTTGTACTCAATCCCCTCCCAAATACTTCTTGCAATGACCAGTCTACTTTATGTTGCTATAGTTATGCTTTTTCTAGAATGTCATATAGTGTGTTGTCTTGTGTGTCTGACTTCTTTCATTTAGTATAGCATTCCACTGTATGGATATTTCAGTTTGTTTATCCATTCATCAGTTAATCCACTTGGCCTCTTTCCAGCATAGTTGTGCTTTTAAAGTATATTTATTTTGACAGAAAACAAAAATCTGCTAATGTTAGTTCTGATGTAAAAGGGATGATTAAAGATGACAAAAATGTAGAAGCAGAAACAGAAAACACATTCTCAACAAAGATACTATATGCCTTTAATATATTCTTTAAACAGCATCTATTCATTCAACACTAATTCAACAAATATTTATTCAACAATAAGTTCCAGGCACTGTACAGACTACTAGAAATATGGAGATGAAAGATGAGGTCCCTCAAAGTGTCACAATTCAGGGGTCAGCATACTATATATAGTTCATGGGCCAAATCCAGACAGCTGCATGTTTTTGTTAATAAATATTTATTGGAACACAGCCATGCTCATTCTTCTTTGTATTGTGGATGGTTGCTTTTGTGATAAAATGGCAGAGTTGAGTAGTTTCAACAGAAACAGTATGGCCCACAAAGCCAAAATATTTACTATCTAGTCTTTTCTAGAAAAAGTTTGCCAACCTCTGGTATAGACCCCTCTTAATATAACAAAAGAACAATAAGTATATTTCAAAGACAGGAAATAAATCTGGAAAAGGAATTTATCTCAGAACACAAGTCCAGTAAATTCTGTTATCTACACTGTACACACTGTACATCTAAGTGGTACTTCTGTGCTTCTCAAATACAGTGAATCACCAATGTTGGGCAAATAAACTACCTGCAAGATACTGAGGTATCTTCTCAATCATCAAAGAAGAATTAAATACATTTCTAGTGTTGAAAATATTTTAATATATTTTTTTGAAAATTGGAGATATATATATATATATATACACACACACACACACACACACACACACACGCATACACAAAATTTTACCACCTTGTTGGAAAAAGGATTACAGTACATAAACTTCAAAATTTTGTCAAGTTTTCCTGAGAGATATTACCAAAAGAGACATTCAGCCTATCACAAAATAATAGCTGCTCACTACCTGCACTACAGTCTTTAAGCTTTCTGTAAATGGCTGAAATGTTCAACTGTAAAGACAACTTAAGAGGGCATTAGCTTCTTAGAAATAAACAATGCTAGTGTCATGCACAATGTGGACATAAAGCTATAATCCTGCTTCTTCAACAAAGTAAATAACTCTAAAAGAATGTTATTATAATTTTGAATATCAGAACTATCAGAAATTTATAAAATGAAATAGGTAAGATAGACTACCACACCTAATCTGTGTTTCATCCATTTAGAACAAGTTTTGAGACAATTTAAATGCACAGCTTTTAATTATATATTTAAAAGAATTACATATTTAGAGACTTAGGAGTCCAGCTCCATGAAGGAGTTATACTTTCTTAACAAAAAGAACAGGTTATAAAAACCTTTTTGTGATCTCATTTAGAAGTGGTTGCGTCAGCAAACAGTTGGACTTAATAAGCAAGCTAGTGATAAGTCATGATCTAAAACTTATCTAACCTCAGTCATAAAGGACTTGCTTTTTCCTCTGTTATTAATTATTCCTCCTAAGAGATCCCAGGGTGATGTCACATGGCATCATCCTAAACAGACAGACTGAGTGACACTGAGCAGAATGGCATTAAGTCTTCAGAAGTCCTAGACAAGTCCCAAACTGGGGGGGGAGGAGGGAGTGTTAAATTTTCTTTTCACAAAGATAGCACAGCATTCCTGAGTGCTCCTGACAAAATAGGAGCTCTTGATAGTGGGGTTTCTTAGTAGGCAGTAATCCTAATACATTTCATATAAATTAAGAAACCATTTTCAATAAAATCCAACATAGTTAAACTTTAAAATGAGTAAAGAAAAACCTTAATGATATGCTGCCACAGATTTTAAAATATTTACAGGACTTAACATTTTTCTTATTTTGATTTCTTTTAATTTTTTTTTCACAAAACTCAAACTTGGTTTATACTAGTCTTTCTGACCCTGACAGGTTGGTTATATAAGACCTAGGGGAAAACTAGATATGATTTATGATATTTGTACACTTGCTGCCCAAGTGTTTAAACATTAATAGGGAATAATGATTAATAGGCAATCTCATATGAATAAGGTTACTGATAAATAAAAAAAGCAAAAACAAAAAAAAACAAGCTAAAACAAATTGCTTAGAAAATAGTGGTTTATATCACAAAATAATTCTTCATAGTACAGAATGATTCAACCCAATAGTTCTCTTAGACTGTGGGTACCTTAGTTCATCTAAAATTATTTTTATATCAAAATCTACACATATGCATCTTTGAATGAATAGCTCTTATATCTAAAGCAATGTACACATGTCTTTTCATCCCTACAATTAACAAAAGTCAAAGTACAGAACTTAACCAGGTAAGTATCTTGTCTGAGATTAAAATATAAGTCAATGACAGAACTATGCACACAATTCAATTTCTTGACTCCCTATGCAATAATATCTTGTGAGTGGCAATATAAAAACTAGTAAAAGCCTCTGAGAAAATCTGCTCAATGACAGGCAGATTTAAGGACAGCCCAACTTGGAGAATCCATAAACCAAAACATAAAGTCCTCTTGGCTCTGAATAACACTTAACAATTAAGTGTTATTCCTGACGCTTTGCTGCGATCTCTGATGAGGTTGGTCAGCAGATAAGACAAACAAGCCATGTTAATTTCAAAACTCAAATATCTCTGAGAATAGGTTGAGAATCAGAGCCAATGTCCATTAAAAAAAGTATGTGTATGAATATGTATGGTATATACATATGTATATGTATGGTGATACACACAAACATCAATCACACATAAACCTCTGGGAATGGAATGGAAAAGCCAGACAAATTATAGGCATAAGATAGCTAAGGATCAGAAATCCAGTAAAATCACGGTAGGGTGCTTACCAGGACACACAATGATTTCCTCTGTAGAACTCTCTGGCATAAGGACTAAGCTTCTCTGACTGGTCAAAGCAGCAATGCTGAAAAAGAACCAAACTGCAAGTGAACTGCCAGTAAAATAAATCAGAACATAGCACCTAAAGCAATAGTGAGTCATTCACAAAGCCACAAGTAATCTGATACCTGCTGTCCAATACCAAAAAAGCACAACAAGGAAGCAAGGAATCAGTAGTGAAAACTCCAAGCCAGAAATAGGGAAAATAAACATGCTTACAACTTTGGTTCCAGTGAAATTTGTGAATGAAAAGAACCTCCTTTTGGAGTCTTCACAAAGGAAGGTTGAAGAGTAAGGACTATCTATGAATATCACAGAAGACAAAAACTCCATTCCAATATAAGGATGTCAAAGGTGTTTCAGAGCCTCCATCTCAGCCTTCTGAAGGCTAGAGATTTGTAAGCTCATAAGAGAAAAAATGAAGATTTTCCTGACAGTACACTAGCTTTTCCTGCACCTTGCAGTTAAATATCCTCTTTATCTCAAGATGTGGCTTTGCAGAGAACAAAAATTCTGGTTTAGCCCTGGCCGGTTTGGCTCAGCGGTTAGAGCATCAGCCTGCAGACCAGAGAGTCCTGGGTTTAGTTCCCACTAAGGGCATGTACCTCAGATGCAGCTTGTCCCCGCCCCAGTTGGGGTCATGTGGGTGGCAACCAGCCACTGTATCTCTCTCACACTGATGCCCCCCGCCCCATTCCCCTCGCTTTCTTCCGCTCTATCTGATAAATACAAAAATGTCCTCGGATGAGAATTTAAAAAAAAAAATTCTAGTTTACCCTGCCTGTTCATGGAGTGCAATCTCTTGCTGACACAGGAACACATGGCTGAAAGATCTGAGCATGTGAGCTAGCCCCCTTATGCTTCATAGAGCTTTACAATTAGTTTGATCAAGTATACAAAAGAACATAAATCCTCACATCAACCAAGAACCACAGAGAAAATAACCATCACTGACTTGTGATAAATAACTAAATCCTGATAGGAAACCACAAGTGATTTCTCTCTCTAAATAAAACATTTCATAGCATTTGTTATAAACCCAAACTAGACAGTTTACTCTACACATAACCTTAGGGTCTAGTCAAAGGATCCATCACAAAACAATTTGCTGATATTTATAAAATGGGCTAATCAATTTTAGGAAAACCACACTGCCTGCAGTTCCAGTTCTCTCCTGGTGACAGAGCATATAATCATTTATTAAAACCTACATCTGCTCTGCACAAGGCTTACTACAACAAAGCAAAGAGGCCTACAGGAAGCAGAAGGCCTACTACAGTTAAAACCACTTCCAAAACTCTCTTAACAGCAAGTGAATCAAACCAAAGCCATATTCTTCAGCTCAAGAAAAATATACCTAGTACTATTAACCAAAAACCTAAGAACACTGACTAAATTACAGCAAATGGCATTTGGGCTTCAACTTCCATATGAAAGATGGAGTAATCCCCAAGGTCAACTACCAGATAAAAGGAAAAGTAATTGGAAGCTTGATCCAGTTAATAGTACAGTTTATAACCAATCAACTACTATATATTAAAGTGAGAAGACCTAAGAAAGTAACTCCAAATATTAATCAGCAAGAATAATTAAGGAGGTAATACAAATACTACCATTTAAGTGAAAGATGAGATACAACTGGATAAAAAGTGGCATAAGATAGGGAGTGAGAATGATACAGGTTCTGTGTGGCCTGAATAATATGAAGACTTCAAAGAGGAGATAAGTCTTAAGAATAAACTTGAAAGACGTATATGATTTAGATATGCAGAAAAAAACAAGCATACGCAGAGGAAACAAAGGGGACTGGAGGACTAGAAGAAATGTAAAGAAATCAATTAAGAGCCTGCACATTGGCTTAGGAAGCTAGCATAGCTAGTAGAGTAGCAGGATATAATCACTTTTCAGAAACAATGTAAATGGGATTTGTACTAGATGGCTGGATTGGACAAGAAACCAACCACAAAAACCCCCAAGATTTCTTCCACCCAAATACTCCAGGCTTCTGTGAGATGCATATAGGAGACAATGATTTCTCCCAGTCTGTACTTATAAAAGAGCTAAAAGACCCCTGACAAGCTGTCCCCCAAGTCTCACTCATGGAGTTCATCTCTTATTCTGGCGCCATCAGAGAATTCAGACCCATAACATACAATTTTACCTTTGTGAGGCAGGTACAGAGTTTCCTTCTTCAGAAGTTTTCTCAGCAAATAGCCCTTGAAAAGACTGCAAAGAAACATGTAACATACTAAATATACAGGTACAGATGAACTACTTTCTCTTCCTTTTTTTTTAAAAAAAAGTAATTGTTCAACATTACCACTCAGCAGTTAGCAATGAGAGTACATTTTACATTGTCAGTAAGTTTCAGTGAAAAGAGCATATCCTGTGGAGACAAGACTGAGATTTAAATCATGGGTAAATCACCTGTTAATTTTGTAATTTTGGGTAAGTCACATCTGAATCTGTTTCCTTATCTTAAAATGAGTATTAACAATTGCCTCACAGAGTGTTGTGAGAAGTAAACATGGTATGAGATGTACTTTGTAAATGCAAGACATAAACATTAATTGGTGAGTCAAATGAACTATGATTTCAGAAAAGCAGTTATAAAGCTTTTGTTCTGGGAGGAGGAGATAGAGAGAAAAGTCCAGTTTTCAGTGGAAATACTGCGTTGGGAAAAACACTGCAATCCATGAAAGACGTCTCTCTGGGGACAACAGAGTCATAACCTAGAATATCCTAAAAGGAAAGTTATAAAGATTCCTTTTACTAGAAATTTGCCTCTGTGGTTTTGGTATCTGGTTACAGGGATATCTTTTAAGAAATTAACAAAAAAGAGACCGGATTTTTAAAAAATATTTTCTTTGATTAATGGTAGAACTAAATGTCAACTCATTAAGTGTAGGTGCAAAAGAGCATAGAAAAAGCTACTGCTGACTTAGATGGACTTCTCAGGAAGTATCCCTGGACTGTAAAGCTTCTTCCAATAGATGTAAAGCTATTGGCTGAAGTTTAGAGGATCTCCCAGCAGGGTATAAATAACCTAAACGAGTTAGGCATCTCTCTACTACTCAGGTATGAAACATACTGAAAAACAGGAATCCCTTCAATCAAAGGGAAGATAAAGCTGTACAACAATTAGCAATGTAGCTATTATGAAAAATAAGGGTCGGCCCTGGCCAGTTTTTTCAGTGGTTAGAGCTTCGGCCTTCGGACCGATGAGTCACGGGTTCGATTCTGGTCAAGGGCACGTACCTCAGTTGCAGTTCATCCCGGCCCTGGTTGGGGTCACCAGGGTCGTGCAGGAGGCTACCAATGTGTCCCTCTCATGTCGATGTTTTTCTCCCCCACCCACCCCAACTCTGTCTGAAGATAAATAGAAAAATATCCTCGAGTGAGGATTTTTTAAAAAAGAAAGAGTTGAAAAAAACTGTCAGAAGCACTAAAATATAACTGCAATAAATACTTCACTTTTTGTTTGAACTCAGTAGTGACAAACAACTGTTTTATTCCTGAAATCTCAAAAGAAAAAGGTATATACTGACACCTAGTGTCATTTAATAGAATTTTACCTTCTTAGAATGATTTGTTGACTAAGCCTTGGGCTTCAGAAGCAATAAAGGCACTAAGAAGTTATACGATATCTCCATTTCTACCTTAGGCTAAAGCATTTCTACCTTTCCCAGAGTAAGTTTTGGAAAAAGATTATTGTGCGCCTATTATATGCCAGTCCTGTAATAATCACTTACATGCATTATCTTCTTTAACCCTCATAAGAAACTTTTGAGGAAATGATTAAATTATTTTAGAAATGAGGAAAGTGAAATTTTGACAGGTTAAATATTTTGCTGAAAATCACAGAGACTTGGTCAAAAATGGAACTGGGACTTAACTAACTCCAAAATCCATGCTCTAACCACTGCTGTTGTTTACTCAAATGATCTTCTTCCCAATCATTCCAACATATCCCAAGAATGTCTTCATTTTAATAAATCATTTTTAATTTCTAATCTTATACCTCAATAGCAGTAATCTGAAGACAGAGGTAAAGTGAGGTTCTTTCAGAATATGAAAATAACACAATAAAACAAGCAAACAAAATTTGACTCAAATATTGAAATTTAATCAAGGTGGACAGGGAAGCATGATAGTGATTTAACTTTAACAAAGGAAACTGTGGCCTAATCAAGACATAGTACTCTGCTGGAAGAAATATGATAATGGGAAGAGGATAGCTTACAAAAAAAAAAAAAAAAAATCTAAAAAAGAAAATTCTAAGATCCAGAATCAAGAAGTGTTTTCAACACCATGGGAAGTGAAAGTGAACAGACATATCATCTGGTCACCATAGAAATGTCTTCTGTTATCAGGTACTGGTAGCTTATCAAGTCTTTCCATAGACTAATTGAATCATCCCTTAAAATTTCCATTTTCTGATTACTATTTCAGCTTTCTATATACCTCATCCTAGAAGGAGATACAGTAGATGATGGACCTGAGTATTCTAGTCACTAAAAACGTCTCTCTTCCATAATAAATGAACAAACTATCATATGGTGCTAATGTCAGCTTGAAGTTTGGTTAGTCAAAGTTAGTTCTCACACCCCCATATAATTTTATCATTTCTGGGAAACTAATTCCAGTATCTGAACTGAAAAATTAAAGATCATACACTGAAAAATAGTGATCACATAAATATACCACCCTCTACCTCCCTGCCATACGGTCATCAAGATAACCTCTCCATCTATCTTCACTAACAATTTCCCTATTATCTCAGTGATGCCAGAAACCCATTATCATCAGACTGTAAGGCTTTTATAAACTTTAGTTCATATATACTAAGCAATCTGTCCCAGGGTGAATGTTTTTCTGAGTCCCTGATTCGGGGACTGTCTTGCTATCTCTATCAACCAAGTAGTCTCAAATGTGAGTAACCCCAGCAAAACCAAAATCAACAGAAAATATTTAACAAAAACATACATTCTTTCTACCCACAGTTCCTAAAAGCAAAACACCAAAACAGGAGGTGAAATTACAATCATAATATTTTCATTATTTGCCTATACAATTAGTAAATTTATTGCTGTTTGTTTTTTAAAGATACTATTCTATATTGGCAAGGCTGCAGTGAAGTAGGTATTCTGATATATTGCTGGAAGGAAGGTGCACAAATTTAAGCAACCTTTCTGAAAAGCAATCTGGCAATAAACAACAGATCTTTTTTTATGTTCATAACTCTTTAACCCAGCATTTTCCTGGTTCCCTATCCCTAAGGACACTAATTTTAAGTAAAGAAAATTTTTATTTAGCCCTGGCCGGTTTGGCTCAGCAGTTGGAGCGTCGGCCTGTGGTCCAGAGATCCGGGTTCGGTTCCCACTGGGGGCACGTACCTCAGTTGCAGTTTGTCCCCGGCCCTGATTGGGTCGTGCGGGTGGCAACAACATCGATGTTTTTCTTTCTTTCTCTCTCCCTCCCACTCTATCTGAATAAAAATGCAAAAATGTCCTCGGGTGAGGACAAAAAGAAAGAAAATTTTTATTTAGAAAGATGTTTATTGCAACAAAAATACCCAGCAATAGTAAAATAGTTGAAATATTATGGAAAATTCATAAGCCAAAATATTAGATAGTCATTAAAAATGAAATGGCCAATTTGGCTCAGCAGTACAGTGTTGGCCCACAGACCAATGAGTCGCTGGTTCAGTTCTGGCCATGGGCACATACCTTGGTTGCAGGTGGTCCCTAGCCCTGGTCAGGGTCATACGGAAGGCAACCAGTTGATATGTCCCTCTCACGTTGTTTCTCTCTCCCTCCAACTCTCTCCCTATCTCTCCCTTTCTCTCCTTTCCACTCTATGTGAAGATAAATAGAAAAATATCCTCGGGACAAGATTAAAAAAAAAAAAATGAAATCTAGCCCTGGTCAGTTTGACTCAGTGGTTACCGCGCCGGCCTGTGGGTCAATTCCAGTCAAGGGCACATACCTCAGTTGTGGTTTAATCCCCGGCCCTAGTCAGGGTCCTGTGAGAGGCAACCAGTCGATGTGTCTCTCACATTATTCTCTCTCTCCGCCCCCCACTCTATCTAAAGATAAATGAAAAAATATTGAGTGAGGATTTAAAAAAAAAAAACACGAAATCTATAATTTTAACATCTAAGAAAATGTTTATATGTTAACTTTAAAATACAAAAGTATTATCTAAACCATACAAAAATTTTAAAAAGAAGGATGCCCGGTTGGTGTGGCTCAGTGAATTGGGCAGCATCCCATGGACTGAGAGGTCCTAGTCAGATTCTTGATCAGGAAACATGCCTGGATTTGGGGCTTAATCCCCAGTAGGAGGCATGCAGGAGGGAGCTGATCAATGTTTCTCTTTCACATCGATGTTCCTCTCTCTATATATTAAAAAAATATATATATATATATCAACAAAAACATTTTAAAAAGAAAAAAAGAAGGAATATATCACTACATAGAATTATGGATGCTTTCAACTTTATTCTTAAAATTTTGAACATTTTTCAGTAGTTCTAAGTGGTTTCTAAAATTAATGTTAGAGACTACAGTAAATACTCACTAGACTGTCTGCCTGGTCTCCTTTTATTAAGTACTGCCTCTCAACCCAACCACTGCATTATAATGTCACAGCTATTTCTACAATTTGACACATACCCACTTCAGGCCCCAGCCAACTCTTCTGGTGAGGGTTATTAACCTCAAATGGGCCCTAAATTCCTTCCTAGAAATCTGAAATTGAGCTGGGAGAAAGTAAATCTCCTGTAATTTGTAATTAAGTTTGAGAGCTATAGGATCAGTGTTTTCCACCTACCTACCATGTGAAACAGAGAAAGGAAAACAATCTGTAGAAGGGAAAATGAAGTAGATACAATATAGCATTGAGATACAGAATAATTACAGATGATTTTCTAGATTCAATATCTTCTCAAGGCTTGGTTACCATCATATTTTTAGAATTTATGAGGTACTACATTTCCTTATGATAAAGTCTTCTTTTTAATTAAAATAGTTTGATTTAATTTGTATAGCCAAATAGTACCAATTAATACTATTTGTAGTATTTTGTGGCCTGTTCATGAAGTAAAAGAACTTCAGTCTAATAAGGTCAGCCTCTATGGTCTGACCACATCCACTCTATTCCAAAGGCACTGCTTTCAAACCTCAACTTGACAAGTCTATGCTCTAGAACTCTAGAACCTTGAATTACAATAAATCATGGTCGAGTTAGTTTATTCTAAGGGGAAGCATCTCTAAATTGCAAAAAACTAAGAAACAAAACATGTTATCATAAGCATAACCTTTCATTTGGAAAAGAGGCAAGTCACTACAAGTACTGTTAAGAAAAATGCTTTCTCTTCACATAACAGCAATCTTTCCATAATGTGGATAAAGAGGATGCTAGGGAAGAACGATTCCCATAGGTACTCTCAATGAATGACCTTGTGGTCCCTTAGAGAGAGCTGCCATCTACTGAACATCCTAAGCATTATAATAGGCATTTTACACACTTCATTTCAATCATTAAAACTACTGACTTGCTATTCCCATGTTACAGATATAAAAAACTGATATTCAGAGGGTTAAATGGTTTGCTCAAAGGCACACAATTCGGAAAACAAAAAAAGTCAGTCTGGCTGGTGTGGCTCAGTGGTTGAGCACTGACCTATGCACCAAGAGGTTGACGGTTCGATTCCCAGTCAGGACACATGCCCAGGTTGTGGGCCTGATTCCCAGTGGAGGGCATGCAGGAGGTAGTCAATTGATGTTCTCTCTCATCAATTTTCTATCTCTCTCTCTCCCTCTCATTTCCTCTCTCTGTAAAATCAATAAAGGAAAAACAATGTTTTTTTTAAAAATTCAAACTTCAAATCCATACCCTGTACACTATGCTATGAAATTTTTTATAGCTACCATTTCTTGAACCCTTATCATAAGAGGCAAAACAAATAGAACAGCAGCAAAACAAAACCAAGAACAGAAATAGCAACAAAAAACAGGATAGTTATAAAACAGAATACTCTTTCTATTTATAGTTTATAAAGAGTTTTAAATTATATAATTGCTTTTATAATATTCACAGAAAAAATAAATATAAGCTTTCATATGCAATATAGTCTATAAATGTCTGGTAAAACTAAAAAGGCAACCTAAATATCCTCAAGGGACTGTTTTCAGTAAATTATAGGAAATTACCACAAGCAAAATTGGAAACAAACCAATAAGTGGAGGAAAAAATAAACTGGAAAACTAACTGTACTTAGTATCACAAAGGACCACTTCCCCTAATACATGCAGAATGCCTACAAGCCCTGGCCCGTTTGGCTCAGCAGTTACAGCACTGACCTGCAGACTGAAGGGTCGAGGGTTCAATTCCCAGTCAAGGGCACCATCAGGGTGTGTGGAAGGCAACCAATTGATGTTTCTCTTTCTCTCTCTCTCTCTCTCTCTCTCTCTCTCTCTCTCTCTCTCTCTCTCTCTCCCCTCCTCCCTTCCACTTCATCTAAAAATCAATAGAAAAATATTCTCTGGTGAGAATTAACAAAAAAAGAATGCCTACAAACCACTAAGAAAAAGACTGTCAAGAAGAAAAATGCCTGTAAAATCTAAACACAGAAAAAGAAATACAAATGAGTCTTAACTACACACATAATAAGAAAAAATGCAAACTAAGACTGTATTGAGCACTGAAATAATATTTTTCATCTCTCAGATTAACAAAGATCAAGAGGTCCAATAATACCGTATTGGTATGAGTATGAGGAAGACTGTACTCATACATTGCAGTGAGTATAAATTTATACAACCTCTATCAATAGGCAATTTGACAACAGCTAACAAAATTGTAAGTGCAGTTTTGTTAGCTGCACTTATGATATTCTGATCCACCAATTACATCTATAACAAAGTATTCTACAAACATCTCCCATGTGAACAAAACACCTTCTGTACAACAGTAATCACTGCAGTAGTGTTTGTAATATAGTAAAATACTAGAAACAACTTAAATGTCCACCAATAGAAGCACTGAATAAAATAAAACTCATCTATACATGGAATACTACACATCCCCCCAAAAAGAGAGACACTCTTTACGTACTTTTATGGAATGATCTCACAAACACATTAAATGAAAATAGTATTATGCAGAATAATGTGTAGAGTATGTTAAGATCTGTGTAAAAGATGTTGATTGTACTATAAAATATCCTGAAAAGACACACTAGAAAATTAATCATAAAGGTTGACTCCATGGACGGAAACTGGTTGGCTGGGGATGGGGACAGAAGGAAGATGTTTTATTTATATCTTTTTTCATTTTGAGTCATGTGAAAATTGTTACCCATTCAAAAAACTAACTTTTTAGAAATAATATAAATTTTAAAACACAAAAATAAATTATGGTACATTCACATGATAGAATGTTTTCAAGGACAGGTAATAAATAGGAAAAGATCTAAGATAAACTATTAAGTGGGGAAAAGAAACAGAGCTTATACAGAAGAGTTTTCATTTTTTTTTGAAAAATTTAACAGAATAATTATTTTTATATGCACAGAAGTAATGATTGCTTCCCTAGGTGCTCAAGTTATGGGCAATTTTTTCTTCTTTACACTCTTTTGTCTTTTCCTAGTTTTCCATAGTGGGCATGTGTTTCATTAAAAATAAGGGGGGGCCCTGGCCGGTTTGGTTCAGCGGTTGGAGCGTCGGCCTGCAGTACAGAGAGACCCAGGTTCGGTTCCCGCTAAGGGCACGTACCTCGGTTGCAGTTTGTCCCCGGCCCTGGTTGGTCGTGCGGTGGCAGCCACTCGATGTGTCCCTTCACATCGATGTTTCTCTCTCTCTCTCTTCCTCTCTCTCCCTCCCGCTCTATCTGAGCAAAAAATGGAAAAATGTCCTCGGGTGAGAATAAAAAAAATAAATAAATAAATAAAAATAAGGGGGGAGCCCTGGCTGGTTTTGCTCAGTGGTTAGAGCGTTAGCCTGTGAACCAATGAGTCGCAGGTTCGATTCCTTACCTCAGTTGCGGTTAGTCCCCAACCCTGGTCGGGGTCATACGGGAGGTAACCAGTCGATGTGTCCCTCTCATGTTGATGTTTCTGTCTCTCTCCTTCTCTCCCTCCCTTCCACTCTATCTGAAGAAAAATGGAAAAATATCCTCAGGTGGAGATTAAAAAAAAAATAATAATAAGGGGGGAAAGACCACAAAAAGAATAGCTAAAATCTTTGTTTAACCCGTGAATAAATCATCCTTAATCACAGCATCACTGACTCTTACCTGACCATGACTGGTTGATGGTTCTTCCTTCAATAAAAGTTTCTCTTTCAAGCTTTTAATTGGGTTTTCTTGGAAATCCTTGGTTTCTGAATGCCAGACAGATGCCCTAGATTCCTGCCTCTCCTCCTCTTTGTCTTCATCTCCCATATCTTCTGAGATGCCTTCATTTTTTTCACTAGGCTGATCTCCTTGGCCACATTCATTCTGGATCAGAGAAGGAGGTCTAGGTAACACTGGTTCTCCAAATCCTTTTTTCTTAAAGAGCTGCCTCTGAGCCATTTTCAGGCTCTTTTGATAAACCTCCAACTGGCAGAGAATGACCTTGGTATACTGATTAGGGTCTATTCCAGCTGGGCAAAATGGAATACCCCAGAAGTAATGCACAGTGCCTCCACTGTTCTGGAGACCTTTGGCATCTGCTGAGGCAGGCAGACAGTGCCTAGATGTGTCCCCCCTACCCTGGGCAGCTTCGTGAAAATCACATCCCCTTCCAGTACTTTCCTGTGGCTTCCCACACTGTGTGTGCTCAGCCAAGTGGCCAGTGCATCTGTCAAAACATTTAACGTTCTCATTCTCAACCACTGGCTGGCTTGACTGGTCCCAGCTTCCTGAGCTGCCAGAGACCGGCTCCTCTTCAGTGTTTTCAGTGTGGTCCCAAGGCTCCTCTCTTTCCTCAGCCTCGTTTCCCTGACTGATATGTGAGCCTTTAAACAGTGATGGAGGTACCAGCTGCCATATGCCTGTAGGTATTTGAGAAAAAGTAGGGCTAAGGACAAACTGTTTTTTATTAATAGGGCTTGGTAAGTTCTCACTTACCAAGAACTACATAATGTGGGTAAAAAAAGGCTCTTCTTTGGGTTTACCAAATGTTGGCTTTTCCTTGGAGATAAAAGTATGCTGGATATTAGTGAGATCTCAACTACTTTCTGATTTAACCTCTTTAATACCACCAAAGAAATGTGGGGAATTTCTGTATATCTACTCTCAGCATGAGATCCCTGTGATATGGTAATATTTGATGAGTGCAAAGAGTCAGAAGAGGGAGACATGCCTTCAGTGGTCCCAGAGTCGGTGGTTTTCTCTTGGTGGGACTGTGAAGATGGTCCAGAGGCCAGAGATCGAGATCTGGTAGCAGAAGCATCAGAAGGCCGGCAACTCTGAAACAGTGATTCCACACCAGACCAGGTTTATTATTAAAATACCTATACATGAAGGGTCACAGGAAGGACAAAGAGGAAAGGCCATTGACCCTAAAAGATTCTCCTCTTTAAAATGTAGATGCTCAAGCCCTGGCCAGTTTGGCTCAGCAGTTAGAGCGTCAGCCTGCGGACCAGAGAGGCCTGGGTTCGGTTCCCGCTAAGGGCATGGACCTCGGTTGCAGTTTGTCCCCAGCCCCGGTTGGGGTCGTGTGGGGGGCAACCACTCGATGTGTCTCTCTCACATCGATGTTTCTCTCTCTTCCTCTCTCCCTCTTGCTCTATCTGAAGATAAATGCAAAAATGTCCTCGGGTGAGGATAAAAAAACAAATAAAATAAAATAAAATGTAGACGCTCAATTCAAATGAATTCCACAGTGTATACTGAATGCTTAGCATGTGCAAAGTGCTATTGTACCAGATCACTATACTTAAACCCTTTTTTAATATAGAGAAGTAGGTGGCATAAATGGCTCAGGACCTGCCACTGGCAAATATCCTTCACATTTAAAATAATTTCAATGATCTGGCCAGTGTGGCTAAGTGGACTGAGTGTCATCTCATGGACTGAGAGATCCTGGTTCGATTTCCAGTTAGGGCACATGTCCAGGTTGTGGGCTCGATTCCTAATAGGGGGCGTGCAGGAGGCAACCCATCAGTGTTTCTCTCTCACATCAATGTTTCTACCTCTCTCTTCCTCTCTCTCTAAAAAAATCAGAAAAAAACATATTTAAAATAAAAAATAAAAATTTCAACTATACATATTCAAATCATAATTTAACATTATTTGAAAAAATTTTAAACTACCCATTCTTCTCTCCATAACCCACCACTAGCTCTCATTCTCTTTACTCTCTCCACAAAACAGGGGAGGTAAGTACTTTATCTTGCCTCTTTTGGTTTCTTGGTAATAAGTCATTCTTTTCAGAAGCTGCCAACTACTATGGTTCTCTTAAGCCATGGACTGAAAATCTGTGAGGTGGAAGAAAATTCTTTCATACAGAATTAGCAAACACTTCAAATCAGGACAATCAAGAATTCAACATGGGTTTTAAAAATTGTGGGAAAGCCCAGCTGGTGTGGATCAGTGAATTGAGCGTAGTCCCATGAACTGAGAGGTCCCAGTTTGATTCCTGGTCAGGGCACATGCCCAGGTTTGGGGGCTTGATCCCCAGTAGGGGGTGTGCAGGAGGCAGCCAATCGATGTCTCTCTCACACTGATGTTTTAATCTCTCTCTCCCTTCCTCTCTTTATAAAAAATCAAGAAAAACATATTTTTAAAAATTATGGGAAACATTTATTAGTTGAAAACCCTATGAACTACTACAGCTAGTTTCTAATGCAACCATAACACTGTAAAAGAATATTGCTTATCAATCCTCACAAACTTTTTCAACATAGCATATTTACATTCAGGCTTTCTGCAATGGCTTTCCTCAATAGCTCCTCCTCTTCCTCCTCCTGGCTGTTCACTTCCCTAGCTTCTTGCTCACTCATTTTGAGAGCCAGAGCAAACTGTTCTTCTTCTGTCATTTCTGCAGGAGGACATAGAAAGAGAAGGGAGGGATACCACAAATAATGAGTAAGCATGGAAGCGAGAAACAGAATTATTAAATTTTTCAAGTGAAGACACTACAGACCATTTAATACAACTTTATAATCTTATAAATGAGGAAAGCCCCAAAAAGTAAGGTGTTGGCCAAGATCAGTAGCAGAAGTTACAAGAATTCTGGGTTAAGTAGAATATGAGCTCCTATGAAGGCAGTTTTTGCCTATTTTGTTACACTATTATTATCTCCAACATACAGGAGTGAGCAAAAGTAGGTTTACAGTTGTGAGTACATTAAACAGTTTATTTTTGTATTATTATTATTATTTTTTTTTAAACATATTTTTTATTTTTTTTTTTCATCCTCACCCGAGGACATTTTTCCATTTTTTGTTCAGGTAGAGTGGGGGGGAGAGAGAGGAACAGAGAGAGAGAGAAACATCGATGTGAAAGGGACACATCGAGTGGCTGCCACCCGCACAACCGACCAGGGCCGGGGACAAACTGCAACGGAGGTACGTGCCCTTAGCGGGAACCGAACCCGGGTCTCTCAGGACCGCAGGCCGACGCTCTAACCGCTGAGCCAAACCGGCCAGGGCTGTATTATTATTTATTTACTAATTATTGTATTATTAACCTACTCTTGTCCACCCCAGTATACAAAAAATGCCTGACAAATGGTAGATACTATTTGGTGAATGAATAAACAGAGGAACAGCCTTTCAGAGCGTTTGCTACATATCACCATGGCTTTATGCTCGACATTTAACCAGAATAATTTTACTCATCAGAATCCTCTTGGTGGGACTGTTTACTCAGTAGAAAAGACCATTCCTAGTGACCAGAATGTGATCCCAAACATCATTTCCCATTAAAAACAACTGGAGTACCTAGCAAAAATGGCTGAATTCAAAGTCTGGAGCTACCCTGGCCGGTTTGGCTCAGTGGTCGGCTCGCAGACCAGAGAGTCCTGGGTTCAGTTTCTGCTAGGTGCATGTACCAAATAAAAAAAAAAAAACCCAAAAAACAGGAGCTAAAATGTAGAATATGCGAAATATAGATATGTAGAATATCTGTCATATCTGTGAGCAAGGAATCTATCAGACACTACTAGGGTCATATCAAAAGCTGGGCTGGTGTGGCTCAGTGGTTGAGCGTCAACCCATGCACCAGAAGGTTGGTTGCCGGTTCGATTCCCGATTGGGGTGTGTGCCCAGGTTGTGGGCCCGATCCCCAGTGGGGGACATGCAGGAGGTGGCCAGTCAATGTTCTCTGTCATCGATGTTTCTATCTCTCTCCCCTTCTCCATCCCTCTCTCTCTAAAATCGATTTAAAAAAAAAAAAAGAATTTAAGAGCCAACTTAAAAAGGTTCTCATTGGTCAAAACTGAAACAACTAGTACATCAATAAAAATTACAAATGTGCCCTGGTCAGTGTGGTTGTTAGAGTGTTGGCCCACACACTGAGGGTCTTGGGTTCGATTTCTGGTCAAAGGCATGTACCTGACTTGCAGGGCAATCTTTGGCCCTGGACGGGGCACGTGCAGGAGGCAAGCAATCAATGTATTTCTCTCACATTGATGTTTGTCTCTCTCTCTGTCTCCCACATCCTCTCTCCCTCCTATCCACTCTCTCTAAAACAAAAACAAATCAATGGAAAAATTATCCTTGAGTGAGGCTTAACAATAATAATAATAATAATAATAACTGGAATGACATAAAACACATTAAATATGTTTAAATCTACAAGTTCATAATGATACTTTTAGAAAAACAATTAACTGGTCATTGTTAAAGAATGTTAGTGAATCGATTATTTTGAAAACTGGTAAATAAAAGGATAGAGACTCAAGTTTCTTATTTTACTCTTCCAACACAACCTATACTACTTTGTAACCAAATAGATAAAGAGAACTTTCTCTTTAAAGAAAAATAGAAGCTAGTCCGGTGGGTGTGGCTCAGTGGTTGAGCATCAACCCATGCACCAAGTGCCGGTTTGATTCCTGGTTAGGACACATACCCAGGTTGTGGGCCCGATCCCCAGTGGGGGGCATGCAGGAGGTGGTCAATTGATGTTCTCGCTCACTGATGTTTCAATCTCTCTCTCCCACTCTCTCTAAAATCAATAAAGGAGCCCTGACCAGTTTGGCTCAGCGGTTAGAGTGTCGGCCTGCAGACCAGAGAGTCCTGGGTTCGGTTCCCACTAAGGGCACATACCTTGGTTGCAGTTTGACCCTGGCCTTGGTTGGGGTTGTGTGGGTGGCAACCACTCGGTGTGTCTCTCTCACATCAATGTTTCTCCCCTCCCCCCAACTCTATATGAAGATAAATGCAAAAATGTCCTCGGGTGAAGATAAAAAAAGAAATTAAAATCAATAAAGGGGAAAAAAATTAAAAAAGAAAAAATAATTATAGCAGCTAATAAAAATATTTTTTTTAAATGAAAGAATATCACTATTTTGTATAATGCCCACAGACAGGATTTTGGCCATGTCTAACAAACAATATATATGACCCAGCAATCCCAATTCTAGCAATTTACTCTAAAGATAGACTTCCAATTAAAAGAAAGATAAATATTCACTACATTTTTAATAGCAACACTGTTTGAATTTGTGAAACACTAGATTCTACTTAATGATCAACATGGGACATTATCTGAATAAACTCTGGTATACATACAGATAACTGTTAAAAAAATAGTAATAATAATAGCGGTATCTATAGACCAGAAATAGAATGATTTCAAGGATATAATATAAAGTAAAAATAATAATCATAAAGCAAAATACATCCCTGGCCAGTATGACTCAGCAATGGGAACATCGGCCCGAGGACCAGAGGGTCATGGGTTCGATTCCTAGTAAAGGGCATGTACCTGGGTTGCAAGTTTAATCCCTGGTCTTGTCAGGGTCATGCAGGAGGCAACCAATCAATGTGTCTCTCACATGGATGTTTCTCTCTCTCTGCTCCCCACTTCAAATCTATCTAAAACTCAATGAAAAAATATCCCCGACTGAAGATTAACAACAACAAAGTACAAAAAAGGGTATATATGGTATGCTACATTTTGTGTAACAAAGGAGGAAATACAAAAATACATATACCTGTTTATTCTTGCAAATACTAACACAAAAAGGATAAATTAGAAACTAATCCAAGTGGTTACCTACAGGTAGTTGGAAACAAGGTAGAAGGGATAAAAGGAGTGACACGACACTTCTTTGACTATACCTTTGTGTATGTCTTTAACTTATAAAATCATATAAATATTATATATATTATTAAAAGTAAAATAAAATCAATAAGGATAATGGATTGCTAAAACTGAATCTAAACATTACAAAAGAGACCCAGCCCTGGCTGCTGTGGCTCAGTTCGTACAGTGTCATGCACCCACAGATCATGGGTTCGATTCATGGTCAAGGCACATGCCCAGGTCGGACCTGATCCTCAGAATAGGCTATGCAGGAGTCAGCTTATGGATGTTTCTTTCTCTCCCTTTCTCTGTCTCTCTAAAATCAATAAAAACATTTTTTTTAATGCATGCAACTGAATTTGAAATAACCTTAATGGGATGTACCTAACACAATGTTTACAAGGACATAATAATTTACGTGATCATATTAGAAAAGAGTTTAAAATCAGTGATCCAAATCTCCGACTTTAAGAAAATAAAGAGTGAAATTAACCCAAAGTAAGTAGAATATAAAAAGCAGAAATTGCCTGGCCAGTGTGGTTCAGTGGCTGAGCGTCGCCGGTTTGATTCCCAGCCAGGGCACATGCCCAGTTTGTGGGTCAAACTCCAGTGTGGGGCATGCAAGAGGCAGCCAATCGATGTTCTCTCTCATCAATGTTTTTATCTCCCTCTCTCTCTCTCTAAAATCAGTAAAGGAGAAAACAAAACAAAACAAAAGCAGAAACCAACAAAATAGAAAATGGCATAACGGGGGGGGGACCCTGATCGGTTTGGCTCACTGGTTAGAGCATCGGCCTGCAGACCAAAGGGTCACAGGTTTGATTCTGATCAAGGGCATGTACCTGGGTTGCAGGTTCAATCCCTAGCCCTCAATTGGGGGTATGTGCAGGAGGCAACCAATCGATGCGTCTCTCTGACATCAATGTTTCTCCCTCTTCTCTTCTCTTTCCCTCCCGCCCTCCTTCTCCCCCCCCCCCCCCGTCCTGCTTCCTCTAAAAAAAAAAAAAAAATCAATGAAAAATCCTCAGGTGAGGATTAACAACACCATCAACAAAAGAAAATACAAATTAACAATATAAGGAATAAAAGAGGAGATATATCACTACAGATTCTATAGTCATGAAAAGAATAACAAGGAAATAACTTAGTTTTATGCCAATAAATTTGACAACTTGGATCATGTATTCTCAAAAGGAATGATATCATCCCCAGTGGACAAGAACTGGTTCTTGAAGGTCAAAGAACATTGCTCTCTTGCCCTGGCCTGTTTGGCTCAGAGGTTACGAGCGTAGGCCCAAGGAGTTGGGTATTCGAGTCTGGTCAAAGGCACATACCTGGGTTGCATTTTAATCCCCAGCCCTGAATGGGGTCGTGCAGGAAGCAACCAAACAATGTGAACAATGTGTCTCTCTCATATCTCTCTCTCTCACTCTTTCCCTCTCTCCTTCCTTCTTCCCTCCCACTCTATCTAAAAATCAATAAGAAAATATCCTGGAGGACTAAAAATTTTTTTAAAAATTTTTTGAAGATTGCTCTCTTTATGTAAAAAGAAGATATACAATTAGTATATAAACAGAATATATAGAATTATCTGTGGTACTAAAAGTTCGTGGGGTGGTTAGGGAAAAAAATGTCTATAAAGGAGCCTTTGGAGAACAACAATAAAAAAAGCATTGAAATGCAGAAAATACAGGACATTGAGAAAAGAAATAAAGGAAAATATAAAAAAGTGAAAGCACATACCTTGTTCATAAATTGGAAGAATTAACTTGTCCATACTACCCAAAG